ATTATTATTATTATTATTATTATTATTATTATTATTATTATTTGATCAGCTACTTTTAGTGCTTGAATTTTAGCACAAGTTAATTTGCATAAATTAGCAAAGTATTTCAAATTTATTGCTGATGACTTAGAAAATTCCACATATCTTGCATTATGATTTACTAATGTCCAGCTTAGATTGACAGCAGAAACAGATCAAATGCACAGAAATGCTGCAGGATTTCTGTACTTTCAAGCACTGAACTTTATATAAAATCTATTTTTAGTTCATACTGATTTAGTGGGTTAGGTGTCCGTGATARTATTTCAGACAACCACACGCGCAGTCATGTCAGAAACGGAGAACTCTTGGAACTTCAGAGACACCTTTAACTTGCATTTTGTACTGTCTCTCCACAGCATGGAGCTGCTTCTACCTTCACCCCCACTCCTGSGGGGTTCCACTCTCCGTACTGGCAGGGTCCACAGAACAGGCGAGATACCAGACCACCAGGATTTAGAGACCGGCCCAGATCCCCCCCTGTTCAGCTCCCTGTCAAAACGGAAGCCCCAGCTCCTCTTGGTAAGTCAGAAATAATAAATGTTTGGGGRTAAAAAAAAACTTGAGAAATTTGTACAGATACTATTTTTCTAGAAAGGGTGTGTGTTTATATGTATACAGTATATGTATGTGTGTGTGTGTGTGTGTTAGGTTTAGAAGTATTAAACTTTTTTTGTTTGTTCATCCATAGTCTGTATATTTTGCTTCTGTTTAAATAATGTTCATTTAAGTAACTATGACTAACAATTTAAAACAGGGTTCTCACAAACAAGATATCTTAAATGAATCTTTAAATATGAGAGAGGCTATATAAGATTCACTTAATGCAAATTGCAGACTTTTTGCAGATGATCTGTGATTTGTATTTAAATAAAAAATAGCTGCACTCTSTTTTAATAATTTCTTGTTATTTTTCTGCTGTCAATCATCATTGTTTTCATAAGCAGCCCTCCCAAGGTCAGTACTCTAGGGGAAACACTGGAAAGGCCTAAAAAAGTTTATTGAAGATGTTTTGGATAAAACAATTGACTGATTTAGTGAGTGACTCAGTCTACAGTGTTTGCATCTGTTTGATCAGATGGCATGTGTTATGTTAGGTACCTCTGTGTGTAACCATGTTAATAATTTTGTAGTACAAAGTACAGTACACGTTTTTGTGATATTTTTATCAAATTTTGAACATTTTTGTTTCGGGCAGGCAACCTTTAATGTCCGGCAGGTAACATTTGGCATCACCTGCCCGACAGGGCTGGTAAAAAAAAAAAAAATGTTGTCGAACCCTGATCTGACATCATATTGATCACAGACTTTTGAATTATTATTAATAATAATAATAATAATAATAATAATGATGATGATAATAATAATACTTCAAACTTATATAGCGCTTGTCAGGATACTCAAAGATGCTTTCCAAAAGGGGAAGAAAAAAAATTTAATTGAACAACAATTGTTTGAAGACAGACTTTGTGAGAAACATTGAACCGTTGTCCAAACAAATTGATATAATATACAGTATATGAAAAGTCCTTGAATTTCATGTTAGCTGTTGTTTGAGCACCCTGTATAAAAATTAGGGTTTTTTTTTACTTTTTTTTTCTCGAAGTTGACTAAAAATGTTTTAAAACCAAATAGACAGGGTTACATTTTTTCTAAGTTTTTAGAAATGTATTAAATGCAAGTGTCAGTTGTGTGTATGTTTGTGCACTATGTGTATTACATCATTGTTAAGTATTAAACCAATGTAACTGTTTGAGCTACTTCTCATGTTTTGTGTTAAATGCTCTCAGAGTAAAAAAATGGAAAAACGCGTAAACTAAAAAATGAAAATTTGTTTAGCATAAATTAATCAAGTCATTTATTTTCTCATTTTCAGATGCTGTAAAACGTCGCACTCTGCCAGCTTGGATCCGTGAGGGTCTTGAAAAGATGGACAGGGAGAAGCAGAAAAAAATAGAGCGAGAGCGAATGGAACAGGAGCGTGCAGAAATGGCCGATGATGAYGAGACAGAGCACAAAGCTGACGAGGAAGGGGATGGGCCTCGCTTGCCACGCAAGAGTAAATTTGTAAGAAGCTCCAGTATTCACATTTCATGAGAAAGGATTCTTCTTTTTTAGCTTACAATCTTTTTTTATTTAATTTATTTTTAACTGAAAGTCAATTTCATCCTCTTTTTTTTTCTTTAAATTTGAAAATCAGGACAGCGACGATGAGGGAAACGACAATGACAATCACGAAAAGATCTCTATTAAAAGAGAATTTCCTGTTCGGAGTCCATCACCTCCTGCAGAAGACAGTGAACCAGAAATGAGTGAAGAGCTAAAGGAAGAGCTCCTGGTGGGTTCTACCCTCACGTCACCAGCAAATAGGCTGGCTGTTTCCAACACAAGGTGTTCCTCAGTAGTAAAAATGACAATTTTATGCTTTTTTCCTTCTTTAGATGGGCATCACTAAAACCCTTCTGACAGAGATCCTTCTTTCAGTCACTAACGAAGAGATCATGCATGTAGCCAGGGAGACTCACAGAAAAGCCACTCGAGGTCTGCTTTTCCCTTTTTTTCAGTTAACACATAATCTGTTCTTGTTACCAAGACAGRTCTTTTAAACCTGGAGATAATCTGTTTAGTGCATATTGATGGTATAAAATTCTCAAATAATGTCCTGTAAGGAAAGGTGATTGAGCAGCAAGACTTTGTCTGACATGTATTGTCAACCATTCTCTGCTAATGCATCAGAAGAAGAAAGCAGGAGAATGCTTTAGACTAATTGTATTTGGACACGTTCATCTTGGTATTGAAGGTCCTGCTGGATGACTGAATAAAGTCTCAGCAATGACTCTGACCAGCACTTACCTTGAAGAAGCTGTGCATTAGTACAGACTGGTTCATTTCCTCCTGTCCGACTGTTTCACTTGGATTGTGTGACAGAAGTTTGTGTAACCTCTCTTTTTTTTCCCTCCATTTTTTTTATTTTATTTTACTTTTTGTTAACTGACAGCTCTTGTAAATGTCGCTTTATCTGTGACCTCCTTCTCTAGCCTTTGAGACAATGGCAGTATGTGTTTTAACATGTTGTTCCTGTTGTTGATGTGAATCAAAGCTCCTGCAAAACAGCTGGCACAGTCAAGTGCACTGGCTTCTCTGACTGGTCTCAGTGAGTATCTATTTTTCTGTCACTGGGGGGGAGGGAGGGGGCATTTTGAATTCATGGTGGAGTGTTTGAAGAAACAAGGAGAAAAAACTGAAGACTTGACATCCAAATACTTGACCTTTAATATTTTTTAGATATTTGATGCAAATGTGGCATATGATTAACTTAAGTTGTACACAAGCATGCTTAAAATTAGTGTTCACGTTGATGTTTAAGGCTGTACATTGCTTAAGGGGGTTGTTGATGTGAAGTACATACTTGGATTAAGTGCCTTTCGTAAGGACGTTGTGTTGGTATTGTTTTGTATTTGGAACCTTGTAAGAATGAGTCTTGCTCTGCCAGCACTGAACAACCTGGGGGCTCTGTTGTGGCAGGCGGGATTGGTGATTATGGTTCAGATGAAAGTGAAGATGAGGATGCACGCAGCGCCCGGGGTTCTGAGTCTTCTGACACAGACGACGAAGAGCTGCGCCATCGCATCCGGGAGAAGCAGGATGCCTTCCGTCGCAAAGAGCGCGAGATGCAGCTGTTGCAGGAAAGACAAGCACAAGAGGCTCTACTTGCACGTGGTAAGACTAACGTTTATGTCAAGTTTTTTTTTTAAATTTGTTTTTAACGTCCCAAGAAACTCAATGATTTTGAGTTATTTGTCTGCTTCTAGTTTTTAAACCTCAAGAAAAACCTGGATATACAGTATAATTTGCTGAGTTCTATGATTTTTTTAATATGCAAAGACATAAAAGGGAATTTGGAAAATTGAATGAAAGTCAGGATTTGAAGCCCTCTCCTTTGTACAGCGGGTAAAATAAGTATTGAACACGTCACCATTTTTCTCATTAAATATATTACTAGAGGTGCTAATG